GGCTGGCTCCATTATTTAACATCTCTGTGGTACTAATAACACCAGGGGTTGGTCCCCATGCAGACAAAAAGTTTTTTAAACCCTATTCATTAAGCTCAACTTAAGTTAAAAGGAATGCATAAAGACAGAAGGCAGATTTGCAAATTATACTCTTAACTGGCACAAATACATACTTAATCAAGTACACCATTGAAAGAATCATCATCAGAGCATATGATACACCACAATGGTATTTCAAGGATGATGATAACTTTTTCAAACAGGGGTGACAAATCTCTCTTCCAGCAATGTTTTAAAAATAGCATGGATAGTGGCCAAACTTCCCATCCCATTTTGATCCTACGGTAAATGCAGTACAGCATGATAAACTAGTAGTGTTTGTGAGTTGAAATTTATCATTTGGAGGCCCCTTTGTCTCCTAGTGAGGAATGAAAAGCAGCAGCTGCCGCCATGTCTAGTTTTCTGGGGCTATGCTTACATCCAGAACAAGCTGCTGCTTTGGTCCTATAAAACCAGTTTCTCATTTGGTGGAAAGAAACCTCTGAAATCCCGGTTTATAATGTTATGTGGTGTAATGGCAACTTTCTCTCCATGTTCTCCAGACAGAAAGCAGTCATATCTCAAGAGGCAGATGAACGAAATACAGTACGACAAAGACATGACTACACGGAGAATTCTGAAAAAGCTGATTGCAGATCACAAAAACCTATGTCAAATAAAACACATTAGTCATCCAAGTGCCATAAGACTCCTTGCCTGTTTCTTCAATATCACTGCATACCACAGTAGTTCAGGTAAGAACAGAATAAAAAGGAAGAGCAGCTCTAGCCATACTTAGGCATTCTACTATCTGGCACTCCGAACTTGCTCAGGGAGCTCCTAGCCGTGCCCCACTTCCTTGCTGTTTTTCATGGTTTCAGTGCTAGGTCCAAAGAGAAGAGCCCTATGTGTGTACAGAATTTAAAAATCAGCAAGAACCTGGGTTCTTACATATAGAGCCTAAATGTGAGCAAGACTTTTCTTCTTTTCAGACCTGGCACTAAAACCATGAAGGCAGCAATGGGGGCGGGGGGGGCAGGCAGCATTCCCTCTAAATGTGTTCACAGCTTAGGGTAGTAGAAAGTCTGAATAGGGCTAATTTCCTCATCTCTCTCTGTGAAAAAGGGTGACATGGCAAGGGCCAGACTGCCCCACTGTGGCTATCCCTTGGGAGAAGTCAAAATGTGAAATGGGATGACTTGTCTTTCTACAGTAATTGATTCTACAAGCTCTTGAAATCCAACTCTACTATGACCTCTCAAGGGTCCTTTAATGCAGTGGTCCCCAACCTTGGGCCTCCAGATGTTCTTGGACTAGAACTCCCAGAAGCCTCCACTACAACCACTGCTGGCCAGGATTTCTAGGAGTTTCATTTTGAAGGAGCAGCCTGGCAAGCAAGACTCCCCGCTCCTTTTCTTGGTCAAATATTTTCACTCCAATTTCTTTTTCATCTTAATGAGGTTATTCATAAATCAAAGGCTTCCACTTATTTTGTTATTGTATATTTTCGACCGTGTTTCTTGTTCTCCTCTCCTCGGCAGGTGGTTACTCCCAGCTATCTGCCAATATGGCTCCCGTCTCCGATCTGTGCTCGGGTGAATTTTCAGAGGGAAGAAAAATCAGGTTGCTGCCCAATCTTCTTCTTTCTGAGCTCACCAACTGCTTCAGAGAGACCTTTCCTGGTCTCCCCTTCAATATCCCATTTCCTAGGGGGACCCCAGACTGGGCGGTTCCAGCTTTTCCCGGGAGCTGTTCCCAGAAGCTGCTGCCTGCACCATGACAAAGCTCCACCTCCTGGAATATTGTATGTGTATTCTTAACCATGGCATATTTCTTTCTTTTTAACTACATCTTCCCTTCTTTTAATTTGTCACATTCAGTTTCAAGTTTGTCTGCCCAGAGTTGTAAGCGATTCTAGTAAGAACAAAGCCTTTTCCTGTTGTACCAGGACTTTTCCTGAAGCTTCAAAATGATGGGGAATTTACTAAAGGCCACTATTAAAGGCCACATTCTTAACGGATGTGTTATTTGAATAATACTGTTATAATATGGTATTCATACTATGATTTGTTCCCCAAGCAGGTATCTTCCTTCAGGAGAAAAGGGAGAGGGAGGACCCCAGTATCCATGAGGAACAAAAAAAGCACCTTTAGCCCAGTGGTCATATATAACTAAAATAAAAAAATCAAAGCAATCAGTAGGTGTTTATATTTTAATCTTGGCCTGCCTATCTTTAATGTCTGCTTGAGAAGTTAAAAAAGGACATACAGTGGGGTCTTGACTTGAGAACTTAATCCGTATTGGAAGGCAGTTCTCAAGTCAAATCTGCATTTCCCATAGGAATGCATTGAAAACCATTTAATCCGTATCTGCTCTTTTCCGTCCATAGAAACTAATGGGAAGCTGCTATTCTGCCTTCGACCACTAGAGGGGGATATTTTGTTTCTTTTTTTCTTAGGTCAAGAAAGGTTAAGGGAAGGCAGGGAAAATACAGTCCAGGCAGTACCAGGCAGTTTGAAGACCCCCAATCCACTCTCTAAACACTGGGAGGAGTGAGGAAGCAGACAGGGACCCTTTTCACTGGCCAACATTTAACTGGAAGTTCAGCTTTTGCACTTTCCCTGCCTCCCACGTGGGTTTTTTTCAGTTCTTAACTCAAATCTAAGTACTTACGTCAATATTTTCCTAAGAGAGCGGTTCTTAAGTCAAAATGTTCTTAACTCAAGCCGTTCTTAAGTCAAGACCCCACTGTAATCCCTTTCTGTTCAGTCCATGCTGGGATATAACAAATATGAACAGTTTATATACTTAAACCCTGCTGCTAATTTATAGATATTCCAATGCTATCATTCTGTGTGGATGGTACTGGTTGCAAGACATGCTTTCAAGAAACATGGATGAACTCACGTATGTTCTAAGTAGCCATGTTGCAAGGAATCTCTGAAACCTGGCATGAACACAACTAAGAAGATTGGTCCCACTAACCTCATTCACATTAGTTTTTTTTTTCAAAATATGAATTTTTATCAAGTGGACAAGACACAAAATAAACAGAGGGGTTGCATTGGGAAACAGCACATATATGCTAGAGCTTTAGAAATGCAAACATTAATTTTATTTGTTATTTATTAAACAAATAGCTAGGTAACAAAATGCAGTTGCTTCTGAATGACAAAAATTAAGTCAAAGAAGTATATCTGCATAGACTTGGGACAGTTCTATAATTCTGGGTAAGACTGCAAGGCCTGGATGGACTAGAAAAGAATGGATTTGGATTCCAGAAAGTGTAAGATTACAATTTGTGGTTCAATGGTTGCTGGGAAGCAAAGGGAAAAACAAATATGGTAAAAGGTTGTAAGTGTCAGAGCTCTTTCCCAAGAAACATACCTCAAAGAAAGACAACAGCAGAAAGATAAGCTGTGAGGGTAGAAGGCAAGCACTCCCAAAGATAGATCAGGACTGCCAAAGATTACTTTCCACTTGATTGCCTAGATAAGGAGCTGCAAAATGTTGAAAAGCAGGTTTAAATAGAGGAAAGAAAGGCACATTGTTCACCAAGATCTTGGGGAATCCAAGCTAGAGGGGGCACTAGGGCCAAAGCAGGACTGAGCAAACAAAGAGTAAATTTGAGATTCTGTAACTAAAATCCCAGGTTCTCCATTCAAAAGACTAATTTTAACCTAAAATGAGACAGGATTTAGCCAAAAGAAGCCATGAGAAACAGGACTCATTAGTATGTTAGAAAGGAAACAGAACTCCATTTCACTATAGAAGCAAGAAACAAGAATTTCTGATACATATGAGACCAGAACCCAGAACCAAACTCTCAACTCTGTAGTGCAACATCTTTTACAGGTTCTTTAGGCATGAAATTTTCTCCAAGTTTTACCTGTCTCTGGTAACTTTCCATGAGACATTGCTCTTGTCATTCATTGCAATTGCACCAAGGGTTTTTTTTTTTTGTTTTTTTGCCAAAAGGAACCAAAGGAAGAGGGTAAACCTGGTTATATACTGGGAACATATCCTCATAGTGTTGGACCACCAAAAGAGAATACTATTACATTACTCACCTAAGATAATACATATGGTGACTTTCTTATCAATAGGGCACTATTGCCAATGTTCTGCAGGTAAATCTTACCTGGGTTAATTTAGCAGATTTAAGGAGCTAATTATTAATGGAATTTTATAAATTATTTCCTGCAACATTTTCATGACTCCCCACTAATGATTTGATCAAAGAGGCTTTTTAAAAAAAAAATTAAGGTCTACCTGTCATGAGAGACTGGTTTCTTAGCCATCATTCTTTTCAAAACAGATTCTAGCTCAATCAGCAATTTTCACATAATGTACAAATAGACTTACTTTTGCAGACATGTTGTGCAAATGAAAGCATCCGCCTTAACACAGTTGTGTACAGGTAAAGCTGAATTGTAGCTTTGGCTGTATAGAATGTCTATTTCAGTGAAGAAACAAATCTGGGATGTAGATCTTTCACTCTACCACTGTTGACTATCCAGTTTCATCAGATGCCCACTGCCCATCATATAAATAATTTACCTTATAATGCAATAAAATGACCCTTAACAGATGTAATTTCCTGACATTATGAGAGAACACAAAGTCTTTAAAACACCATGCTGAATGAAAAGGATTTTTGTTAATTAAATTGTCTTTTATTTCCTGAAAACAACCAGAGCAGAACTTAAGGCATAATGGAAACACAGAACAATGGGCGAAACCGAGGAGATCCACTCATCCTAATTCTAATTATAGCTATAACACTAGAATGATGCCAGTCTTCAGAATGTGTCCTTGAAACAGGCAACACTTACTTGGTTTCAGGGTATGTCCTACATGTAAGCTGACTCATACATAAATTCAAAGCAACTTGGTATTAGCCTAAGACACTGACCTGAAAACAGTACTTTCAAGAAAAGCCCTCATTCTATGGTAACATCTTTATTATGTTAATATTGTAAAGCATTAGCATCACCTGAAATTCCTACTCCAAGTTTTCTTAAAGAACTGAAATAAGTAACCTTCTGAGGTGAACTGTGATGCAATCATAAAAAACCCTGTGAACAGCTATTTTAAAATAGAATCAAGTAAATTAAGAATAATAATTTAAGAGAAGCCACTCCCAGAGGTAACTGGCTACAAGAATGCATAGTGGTGGAAGCCCTTGTGTCATTAAAAAGGAACTGGCCTAATGAAGCTCAGTATGCCATAGCTGTCAAGTATGTGAATTGTGGTTACTCTGTAATACCATTTGGCTTAGTTAACGCCTATATTTACAGATCATTGCCAGCAACTGAAAGAAAAATATCTGCATGCCTATTACTCTTGCAACATAGTTGACAACTGGATTTAAGCAAAGGGCTGGACTGAAATCCTTTTTAGCTTTTAAAATAAACTAGAAAATACAAAATATAGTCAATATGCAAAGAACAAAATAACTATTCAACCAAAGATGCTTGCTCTCAATTATCTGCATTCTGATATAAGCCTGCCATTCTTGTTCCAGTGCAACAAAAAACAAGATTTTAAAAAGCAACAAGATGAAAGCAGATGAAACAATTGTAAATAGATTTTTCTGAAAATCTGTGATATTTTCCCCAGATATTTGCAACTTTTCTAATAGAAAAAATATATAGAGATCAAAATGGCATACCTTTCAATTAGTTTAAATAAAAATCATTTTAAAATGAAGCTATTCTAGGGGGAAACAACAAACAGTTGATATCGAACTGGATACAGAGTTCCCTTTTATTAACACTGAGACCACAGGCACAGCTTTTCCCCTTGCACATAGCAGTGCTGTGAACAAATTAGAGACTTCAAAGATTCACTTGACAAGACTCTTCAACAGCATTTTGAAACAGAGTTTCTTCATCCAGCTGAAGATTCTAAACACAAACAGCACAATAGTAAATTAGAAACAAAATGTTAAATACGAAGTACAATAGGAACCCTGCATATGCTGGATCGATAACCATCAATTCACTTATTTACTGGCTGAAAATACTTACTAAAAATATTAAATTAAAATACTGTACAGTGGTGCCTCGCATAACGAGCGCACCGTTTAATGACGAATTCGCATAGCGATGCGTTTTCTGCGATCGCTAATGAGATCGCATTGCGATGATCTAAATGGCCGAAAATTGCATTGCAATGATCGGTATGCGTTTTGCTTACCGATCTTCGCATAGCGATGTTTTTTAAACAGCTGATTGGCGGTTCCAAAATGGCTGCCGGGTGCACAAAATGGCCGCCTGCAGTGTTTTCACGTGCTGCCCTCGCTTACCGAGGTGGCGAAAATGGCGGCGCTATGGAGGATCTTCACTCAATGGTGAGTTCCCCCCCCCATAGGAACGTATTAAACGGACGATTCCGGATAGCGATGTTAATCCTGGAATGGATTAACGTCGCTATGCGGGGCACCACTGTACCTCCAAATACGGATGTAAGATGTAATTATCAGATTGGCCACTAGAGGGAAGGGCTCTCATTTTGCCTGATAGCAAATTTTGAGGCAGCTTGAGGTAGCTTCCCTCCAGAGCAGAGTCCCTCTTGTAAAACTCAGAATTGGATTGGCTCATGAGACAGCAGCAGGTGGGCAAGCCTTATGCCAAACTGCCTCCTGGGAAATTTCCCACCTCCTGCTTGTCCTGCCTTCCGGCTAGCCCTTTCCTCAAGACTCCTGGGCAAACAAGGAAATAGATCTTTAATTATATCTCAAGAAAATCTGCAGAGCTGGTGAGACTGTGTTTATGTGTGTGTGTGTGTGAAAGCGACACAAAAATAGTCATCTTCAGCTCCTTGATGAAGGAGGAAAGATTTCAACTTGGCTCTTATTACTCACAGAGGTCTCATCAAGATAAAAATCAAAGGCGGAGGGGTGCCCTGGGCCCAACAGACTGTTAGCAATAACCCACACTTTTCAGTAATCATGGGGGAGCTTGGAACTGCTCCCCCACAGATATAGGGGTCCTACTGTATTACATATCATCTGAATTCAATACAGATTTTGTATTAATTACTAAAACAAGACCTCATGGAAGAAAACTTTTTTGTTAAAAAAGCAGAATTATGATGGTTGCTAGGTTCTGCTCAAAAACTACCTAAGAAAGTGTTTTTGTCTTTTCAAGTTAACATTTTAAATTCAAAATACAAGATTCTTACCATAAAATCTTCATAATCAAGTTGATGCCTCTGATTTAAATGGGCAGCAAGATCTCTAGTAACCCAGTTAGGGTCTCCCCAAGGAAAAGACATACAAATAGGACAGATCTTTAAAAAAGAGAGAAAACATTTAAGAGACAGCCTACATAAAATCCTTTTTCATTATTAAGAGGTAATACACAAGATTTCTCACATATATTAAAAATTAAGGTGTATGTCAGTATTATTTTATCTAGCAATAACACATATAGAAATACTTTCAAACTGAAACTTATTCTTACAACAAAAGGACAACAAAGCTGAATAGAAGACATACAATTTGCAAAGGTAATTAAATATATCCATCATGCATACTTTACAAAAAGCTACATCTAACGTTACAATTTCTAAAGAAGGTATTTTGTCAAGTCTGTTTAATGGCAATGCAGGGTTTTTGGTTTACAAAATTAATCTGCAAAAAAGTAACTTTTTAAAAAGCCGATTCCTGCTACCATGTTTCCCTGAAAATAAGACAGGGTCTTTCTTATATTAATTTTTTTCTCCAAAAACGCATTAGGACTTATTTTCAGGGGATGATTTATTTTACAGTCATGTCATCTTCTGGTTGCTGCACAATGGTGGAGGGCAGGGTTTCACTTAACTGGGGCTTATTTTTTGGGGTAGGGCTTATATTACGAGCATTCTGAAAAATCATATACAACTTATTTTCAGGTTAGGTCTTATTTCCGGGGAAACAGGGTATAGACATAAATATTTATTCACACATACTCACTACTGGATCTATTTGATAAAGATGCCTGTCATTACAATGATCCAATAAGCTTTGCCTTGTGAAGTTACTTTCTTCACACAGAGGGCATTTGTATGTAGGCTGTCCACTGAAAAATAAATAAACATTACATAATAGATGAAAATCTAATAGCATGCAAAATGTGTAAGAATCTCCCTACCCACAATGACTTTTACTTTAATTTCAGTGAAAGGAAACAATTCAGAGATGCATTAACAATGTCATTTCTGAAAAAAACTGCTTGAGTCATGATCAAAGTATTTTATGAAATTCTGTACATTTTAAGGAAGTTTTCACTATAACGGAGTGAACCTGAGTTGGTACACTTAGCTTACAATCTTATACACCCTTTCTAATTAAACGTGTATAGGATTTGAACAGGAGGGACTGAGCTAGAAAAGCATACTAACAGTTAATTCTAATATATCATTACATTTTTGGGATTTCTTATTTGAAAAATCCAAGCACAAATGTTTCAGAACTATCCTGGTTGTTTCAACACTACTTAAAACATATAATGCCTCACTGCTTATAAACAGGACTTCTGATATGTCAGTAACCTGTTTGCCTGTGGGAGTTTAAACGGACCCTTTTACTGAATCTCTGATTAAGGTTCAAATAAAGACTCTTTTACTTAGGTGCTTTACTGAGATTTGAACCAATATTTTCTGGAATTTAAAACTCAGTTAATCTGCCATCACTAGTGTAAACTCGGATCACTATTTGTTCCAAGAGAGGGTTTCATTTGGATAGTCTGCTTTAGATGACACATGCCAGTGCAACTTACTACACTAAATAACAGGATGTCACCCACTGTCTGTCTTTTGATTTATCTGTGATTTCCACTAACTGAATGTAGACCATCATTCCAGCTTTATCAAAACTGTGACATCTGCTCATGGCATGTGGAGTATCTTTCCAACCTCATGAGATATGTTTCAGACATATGTTACTGTGGCAGATACGTATGTGGAATTAGTTTTGAGCTTGCAGATCTTTACTTGTTCAGAAAACACGACCTAAAATAATTTATTGGCTCCAAACAGAAAGGCAATATACAAAATAAAAAAACACAGTGGCTAAAATCCTGTTGGTTAGTGTAGTAAGTTGCACTAGAATAGGCCCACAGGATTTGGTGAGTCAACTTACTTTACTATAGAACAAGTCTCAGTTACAATACTATCTGAATCCATGGAACCTATGAAGTAGCTGACTCACTAAATCCCAACTGATCCTACAGACCAACTTTTAGTGCAATTTTCTACATTAAGCAACAGGATTTGCAGCAGATTCTCTATTCTAACTCTGTACTAATGGATTTTTCCACATCTCACTGTGAAATATGATAGCTGCCACTGTTCCACAGGATAAGTCATTTCTACATAGATCTCTCTCCAACAAAAGCTCTCATCCAAGCTTGCAAACAACACTTTTAGATGTAATATTTTGGGATTTTCTGCTAATCAGATTTGCATCCACGGTTTATGGAAACATCTAGAAGTAACAAATACAGAAACAGCTTTGAAACAAGCTTTTCTAGGTTTTTGTTCACAATTAAAAGCATGGTGGAAAAACAATCCTATCAGGACATATTTCACTTTGAAAATCCCCATTTAATTATATATTTATCAGTTAGTTGCTTTTTCAGTTGCCTATTCAAGATGGATGGAGATGTGTGGCACATGATTTTCAAGGGACATATTCCCTGGGGCACATTTATTCTGTGCCAGTGACTAAACCAGCGCAATCTCATGGCACAGTTCTATTCTATAGACAGCTGGAGTGCCCAGGTATTTCAACAAACCAGGTCTCCAACATACTCAATTGATGCTCTTTGTTAAAGAAAGTAACAGCAGTAGATTCCCTTCTCCAACAAAGATAAAGCAAGTCCAGGTGAAAAGAATTAACATCATTTCCCGCATACCTTGTTTATAGCTATAGGGATATATGATACATTTAATTTAATACATATATACTGCATCTTTCAATATCAATATAAATGTTTCAAGGGTAGCAACATCATTCCTTCCCTCTCAGTGACTGCCAAATGAAAGAGCATTGACTTCAAGATGATCCTTACCTTGCAGCTTCTTCAGGAACATGAAGATTAGAATTTTCTCCAATTTCTGAAGTAGAAGAATCACTCCTAAAACTTCACACAAAGTATAAAAACTTATTTTCCTGGCTGAATACAGAACAGCCTGCATCCTTCAGCACCACAATTGATATGTAATTCCAAACGACATTAGTAGAACTGACTTGCAAATAAATGTGGTTAAAGTGGGCTATCACCAAGGTTCCCTTTAAGGTGTGCACTTGCACGACTATGCCCCCCTCCATGGAGGGCTACTCTTCTGTGCAACCACAGCAATCATTTACAGCTCCTCTGGTTCTGGTCATGATGGAACATTGGGGGTGGTGGTGCAGAGTCGTGTATGTGAAGGATAGAGCCCTGCCCAGCAGGGCTGAAAATTAGAGGGAACACTGGCTATCACATTATCTAAATTTGGCAAACAAACATTTCAGAAACACGGAATGAAAGGATTGGATAAAACCATTTCTTACATCACAGGAAACTGGAAAGCAGTTCGGTACACACAACAGGGAAATATCAGGCCTGGGCTAAATACCTAAAACATGCAATGGGAAAAACTTATGGGGAACTGCCAACAATACCCTGTCTAACACTGAGTTATAGTTGAAGGGAAGGATGGCCAAAACTAGATTGATGGAATAGTCCTTTCAAAGAGGGCACGGCTGGGGAGGGGGGGCTGGCTAGAATCCTGAACAAGGATATTCCATGATATAATATTTTGCTGCAAGTCTCACTTCCAATTTACTCAGTAGTAACGGTATAGGAGAAAGTAAAGAGGGCCCTGACCGTACAAAGATTAAATAGATGTTTTCCTGGATGGGAAACGACATTTTAATGATTTCCTATTTGTTTATTTAAAAAAATTAACGTTGTTCAACTTTTAAACATTCTTTTACATCATTTTTAAAGCTTCCAAACTCTAGTAGGCTGAACTGAACTGGCAAGAAAAATGCAACCTTCATCTCACCTTGCCACATACACACTTTTTTTTTCCTATTTCTCAATATTTATTTATTTGTTTGTTTGTTTATTTATTGATTTCTACCCTGCCCATCTAAACCAAAGGCAAATTTAGCTGTATTCACTAATTTTTAGAAGCTTGATGATGTTTACCTTTCCCATATTAATCTCTTTTCAGTGTATTAATTCTTACAATTAAATCCTAATAGTTAATTGCTTGAAAGTCAGATTATTTCTCTTTTAATATAAGAATACTTGCTTTCAAGAACTTTGACTTCCTTGGTTTTTGAGATGTCTGTTTTCCTCCACACCCAGAGTTCCAAAACACAGAAGTTATGTAAAGTGTTAATATAAATACCATCAAAGCATGTTGTACAGCAATTCTGAGAACTCTTAGTTCCTTCTACTATCTATCTATCTATCTTCAAAAGCATGTGGTAGCATGGATCATACTTGCAGGGGACTGGACTTGAGAATCCTTGAGGTCTGGGTCCTTGGGGTCTCTTCCAACTTTATCTATTATTTTATTTATTTAAAATGGTTTAGAATTGTACAATTATATGATTCTATCACCAAAACCTTGTTGTTTAGCTATCGTTGCAAGCAATTGTGAAATCCACATTTATTGCCAAAACCACAGCCTACAACCAATTCTGCAATATCTTATCACAGTTAAATTGCACAGTTACTCAGCATCAAGGAAAATGGTGTAACTCCCCAAGAACTTCCACACATTTAAGTTCATGTCCTCTAATTCACTGGTTCTTAACCTTGGGTTACTCAGGAGTTTTGGACTGCAACTCCCAGAAGCCTTCACCACCAGCTTCCTGACTGGGGTTTCTGGGAGTTGCAGTTCAAAAGCATCCGAGTAACAAAGGTTAAGAACCACTGCTCTAATTCAAGAAAATTTTATTTTATTCTATAAGTCACTTTGTGGCCTAAAAGAGTGCCTATAAATATGTACAATAATAAGCAAATTAAACAGTAGCACATTTGTGTGGCAGCATTCCCATCAGTTTTAAAAAGAAACGGAATAACCTGTTTCTAAGGAGTGTGTTTCTACATTACTTTTTGATTGTAAATGAAAAGTAAAAGAAAATTGTTTAGAAAAAAACAAAACAGCCAGTATGGATTTGTGAGTTTTCAAAGTTGAAGGAAAAGAATCATGAAAATACTACTGGAAAAAAATCTGCAAAATTTTGTGTTATGGTGGGTCATTAAAATGTTGCACTAACTAATTGCAATCTAAATACAGTAGTAACTTGTGAAGAAATGCTTCACTACTGAAATTTTACCCAGCTGCAAATACAGTATACACTAGTTTGGGATTTTTTTAAAAAGTAAACATTATATTTTATCAAACTAGCTGTAAACACAAATTACCTGTTTCCTGAAGAATCCTGAGATATTTCTAAGTTTGGGATTACAGACAAAACACCATATTCATCTTGATACTTCTTACACGATTTATAATGGTGTCTCATACGAGAGAATCTAATCTGCAAAAGAATGTGCAGTTCATTTAGATTTGAAAAGGCAGTGCAATGAAAATATTTTTATGAATAGAAAAATTAGCTTATGCAAAAAACTGCGGCAGCATCGTGGTCTGAAATTATAAAATTGCATCATAAGGTAATACTATATAAATTGCTTCTATGATACAATCAATGGATGAAAACCAGTAATGTAAAGGTATGCCATGTAAACTTGATGATGTCATCAGCCATGGTAAATTTTGTTAATATTAATTTTTTTTTCTTATCTGTCCCCTGATAAGGTTCTAGGCTCTTTTAGTATTCTCAGACATTTAAGACACCCAGGACCAAAGGGAGCCTAGGAATTTGGGAGCGGAAAAGAAACTTTTTGTCAACAAAATAGGGCTACAGCTGGTGACATAATCAGGTTTAAGCAGTATAACTTTCAGCCAATATTTTTGCTACCAATTACAATACATGAATTGAACTGATCAGGCAAATTCTACCAAAGTCAACGGCTTAAGATTCTCAAGGCACAAAGGGTTGGGTAAAAAATTAAATTATGTATGTTTAGTTTCTTTGAAACTTAAAATTATTTATTTCCAAGGGGCTAGTTGTGTTAGTTTGTTACAGCAAAAATAAGAAAGAGCCATGTAGCACCTAAAAGGCTAACAAGTTCATTTGTTGGCAGCCTTCGTATCTCATACATCAGCTCGATGATGGTGGAGTGGGCAATGTCTAGCCTGCATAATTAGCTTGTAAACTGCTCAGAGTGTGCTTTATATAAGCAGCACACTTTGCCTATCCATCTGAAGAAGTAGGCTACAGTTCATGAAAGTTTATGCCAAAGAAAACTGGTTAGTCTTTGAGGTGTTATACAACTCTGACTTAAATTATTCATAACTGTGTCCCCTTTATTTGGTCTACATAGATATATCATGTTCTAACCTTTTCTTATTTTTTAGCTCCAACTAAGCTATTCAAAACATATATTTGAATATAAGTCTTGTTATTTTTTCGTTTCCAGGTCTAATTCAGCATCCATACCAGCTTCAATTCTGAGGGACTACTCAAACAAAAAACATCCATGAACACCTCACAATCTTTATTATCTTCTCCGAGTCTTCATATTTAAAAATCTAGAAAAAAATTATGGATCATACCCCCATCTTAACACAAAAAAGATTATCTTCATTGCACAGTTGTGTATTTACATTCACACTACTTTCACTGGGGCTAAGTTGTCAATAAATGCAAACAAAATTACAGCCTTTGTCGATTTTAACACAAATTATGTAATTCTACTACACCTGTTTATCACAACATCTACAGCTCCCCACCAACTTCTTCATGTTATTTTCAACATCTAAGGCTCTGCTGGGACGTGCTTTTTCTTTCCTGGTAACGATGCCACGGCATAAAGGACAATGTGTTCCACCTTCCTTCATAGCCATCAGAAAGCATTTCCTGCAAAACCTGAACCCAAATATAAATTGGCATACAAAAAGGAATACTGTACTTTGTAAACAACTATTCTAATCCAATTCTTCTTATAGTTATTGTATTTATGCCATTATTTCATAATCCATGTTGGAAACAGAATAAGCTGCAATTTGAGGCCTGCACCCAATTTCATGTATATCCTGATGAGGCTAACTAACCAGGAGAAGAATGTTGGGGGTATAGTAACAAAATAAAAAATGAATACTAGCAGAAAAATGGACAATCTGTACAGTAAGAATAATTAAATTCAATGGTAAACTTTCACAACACCCTTATATACATCTATGGAACTGACAACTCTGGGAATTGTTCTGAAAAAGGATATTGAAGGACTGGAAAAGGTACCACAAAAAAAGGAAATAACCAACCATCTAGAGTACTGTCTCAATGAAGAAACACAATACTGCAATATGTGTGGTACATTAAATGTGTCTCTGTGCCACTCCTCCTCCTTTCTGATTTAACAGCAAATCATAGTCAGACTTTGTATACGATGCCATTCCCGATTGTCCCATGCTCTAATTCATGCTGGAGAGCCCTCTCCCACCCCAGCAAGATACGAGAGTACACTTCAGATTTGTAAAGTATATTCTCATTTCCACAAGTAGTAATTTACCCATCAAAATGAAAAGTGATTTATAGGGAAGGTGCACTAAATCTTAAATATCTAAATATTTGTTCTGCATGGAGACAAACAGAATTCAAAAGGCCTTAGTAGATGCATTTTAAGAAGAGCAAACTTCACAATGAAGTTCTGTAGTGCTGCTTCAAGAAGCATTTCATGCTTATATTACTCACCTATACAAAAATACACGAGCATATTGTATGTGAACTTGTTTAGTAAACAAAATCTTTTAATACTCACTAAAACTGGAGGGAGTAACAGACGCACCAACCAATCAACCAGGTTGGAAGGGATTGTGTTTTCCAGTGTGCTGAAATGACTGTGATTTTTGTCCGTCTGTGTACTTATAAATAGGTGAGAAACAGGCAGCAATGCACTTACTGTAAACTTTGATCAGGAATACGATTCCGACTTGTCACAACAGTGGATGGAGCTTGAGGAGCAAGTTGTGACCATGAACAAAGGCAAAACACTCCCTAATTTCCAGCTGACACAGTGCTTTCTGAACAAATACAGTATTTGGATAATTCTAGATTTTCACTTAGTGTAGAAGTTAGAAGAGTTCATAAAGGTTCTTTGGTGTAGTAGAGTTAGAAAGAGATAAATAAATATATGGAAAGAGATGAACAGCATTTCAATCAAGATTTTTCTGGATCAGTTTGAGGTATGCAGTTAATCACTATATACACACACCGTTATAAGAACTAACAAATAAGAAAATTAAAGTAAAAGATTTCTGCTGTCATCTTTTGTTTTTAAGAGAGCAACTGAAGAAGGCCGAATCTGAAAACATTTGCTTAAATATACTGTATCTATTTATTAGTCACTCTTTGAAGTGTGTGTGTTTATACACACACATATACATATACTAATCTTTTTGGAATAAAATCTAAGAATGAACAGGATAAGCAGGAAGGAAAATACTGTAGAGAAATGACAGTAAGAAAAATGCTGAAAAGTGGGCTAGCCATAGATACCTACACATGCTGACAAACAGAAATCCTCACAGGTGTTTTGAACACATCTTGGCATACAGGACAGTAATAATCATCTTCATTGAAACAAATTGTGGCAGGTTCTTCATTCATGGTAACAAACTGGGGTATTTCTGGAAACAATAATGAGAGAATGTGCTGGATACAAGAGTACAAGGCAACGCATATCCCATCTAACGTTACTACAGTACTTTCCTTTTGGGGGCTGAGCAAGGAGGGTTACTAATTCTTGTATTAACAATTCGTGTACTGTTTCCCTTAAGGTCACAGGGCTTTACACAAGACTAACATTTTAGGCCATGGGAGGCTTAAAACAAATATACATTTCTCAGCTTGGCTCCCTTATGTGAGAAATTACAGTTTCCTCGGAATTTGGGGTAGCTCAGTACAGTATTAAGTACAGTATGATGATCCATGAACGTGAAAGGAAGACTGAAACAATTTCTTATGATGGTAAGAGTAAATTCAATTGTTACAGCAGAGAATGGGAGCTAACTACCTCCTTCATGATTTCCTCGAAAGCACTTTCCTCTCTAAGGATGTTATTGCCAACCGGCCTTTACTCAAGTCCATCTATTCTGGATATAAGACTAGATGACGAACACAGTACCCCCTACTCGTAATATTTGCTCCAGGAATTTTTAAAAGGCATCTAGATGATCCCTTTCGCTCGGCCTTTGGGCGCTAGACATTTTAGGCTGAAACACTAGGCATATTTCTCTCTTCTCGTAAGCCTCAGGGAACACACACTAGGCCTTCCTTTCAGTAAAAGCTCAAACGGTTGTCTTACTAAGGGGGACTCCCACACCAGGCTCTTCCTTTTAAGTCGAACATTTTCGTTGTTTATTTCCCGTTCTATACATTTTTAACGTTATTTTAACGGTTAACGTAGGCTTTACGGTGGAAGCCACTTTACAGAAACTTCGAAAAGAGGACGGCAAGGCACCTCGTCGTGACTCTGGCGGCGCAAAAGGAAGCCGGCCTGAACAGAGCCAAGAAATGTAACCGGAGGGGCGGGCAGGAAAAAGGGCCCCCTCGCCTCAAGTCTTTGCCCCACTTGAGCTTTCAGCGCCATGATAATTCCAGCCAGGCGACTCCCGCCCTCAAATATGCCCGCCCTTTCACCTCGAGGTCTGCCATGAAGGGACAACGGCTACCTGTCGGGAGAACGGAAGGGTCAATCGCAGGCCTCGGGACTGGGCCGGGATCTTCAGGGTTCCCGGTAGCCCAACCGGTCAAACCACCGCTCTCCATTGCTCTTAGGCCGCCGCTGCCGCGGCCCCTTCCCAACATGGCCCAGGTTGCCAAGGCAACAGCCCCCCCTCCCGTCCGGCGGGAATTGTTATTGAACAACAGTAGCGGTAGTAGTTATTGCTGCCGCCGCCGCCTCGCTCCCTCACGCCGCCAGGAGGCGACTTTAAATCCGCCTTTCCTCGCTCGCCGTTTCCTCTCATGCTCAAGCGAATTGTGCAAAACCTGATGCTGAAGTCCTCATTAGTTACTAGGCGTAATCGCCAGTAAATTCATCTCGCTTCCTTCGATATAAACTTATAGAAATGAGGCTCCCAGTAATACCTCATGGGTGAAATTTCGGTGGTGGCGGTATTGACACTCACAGGAACTTTTGAGTTCCATTGCGATTTCGCGGTTCGACTACGCAAGCTGGATATACATCCTAAGGCTTGCTGCAATCCTGCGCGGTCTCACCTCGGAGTAAACTCCATTGAATCCAATAAGGCTTATACAGGTAGCTGAGAAAACATACATAGATTGCAACACAATCTCTCTCTGCTCGCCTAAATTTGGCAAAAATATTTTTGTTAGGGTTACAACGGCCACCGCTTTCAGTACGTGTTAGCAGAAAAACAGTAATATATCAGGGTACAGTATTCACGTTTAAATGGTAATTGCAAATCGGTGAAGGTTTTTTCTTGGTATCTTGCTTTATAATCTTGAGTAATTTGTAGCAAATGATCGGATGAGCTGGGTTCCCAGAAGACGAGAGAGGAAACAAAGCCATTCTGTCGCAATATCTTTAAAACTGTATTTTTCATTCTTTCACCCATTTGTCCTAGTATTTTGGAGGGTTGTTTCAATTCAAGTGGAGCAAAACGGTTTAAAATAAAAGTTCCAGAGAGTTTTTGAAGCAGATGGTATGTTTCATAGACATCTACCTGTTTCTCTGAAAATAAGACGTAACCTGAAAATAAACCTTAGTATGATTTTTCAGGATGCTCGTAATATAAGCCTTACCACAAGAATAAATCCTAGTTAAGTGAAAGCCTGCCCTCCGCCATTGTACAGCAACCAGAAGAAAATGACATAGCTGTATTTGAATAAATGTAGATTGTTGTACATGAAAAATTAAAATAAAACATCCCCTGAAAATAAGCCTTAATGTTTTTGTTGGGTTTTTTTTTGGGGGGGGAAGCAAAATTTAATATAACACCTGTCTTATTTTCGAGGAAACACGGTACCATAGGCCTATTTACTACATCTCGTTTTAGGGTCCTATACCTTTAAAATATGATGGATTTTTCTACTGAATTTTTCTGTCTATTGAGGACCCTTAATCACCCACCATGACTTATCCTTGGAAAGTTCAAACTTTTGCCCCGAAACCAAGCGTTCCCATTAACCTTGCTTTAGTCTTTACCTCGGAGGATTTGTACTTTGGTCTCTTTTCATAAGTGTCAAAGACACCTTGCTTAGCAGAAGTGGGGACACTATTGTGAAAAAAGGAGTGTAACTCCTGCGGGGAAATCACAGCGGTAATCTTCCTTGTTTTGTTCACCCCTTAAATAGCTGCTCACAAGATGCATAGACCTTTAGCTAGACAGCAAGCCTGATTTGGGGAGAAGCAAAAAGGGAGAATACATGGACAGATTGCTCATGAAAGCGTGAATCAAATTTAAGAGGAGCAAAGATAACAAAGGTACACTCAAGGTGGGGTGTTTGTGTATGTGTGAGAGAAGAAATGCATCCTCTTGATTTAATTATGAATGTCAAACTCAACTAGGAGTTTAGAAAAGTAGGTGGTGGTTAAGAAGATAATCATAGATAACCTGACCTCTTTCAAAATTCCCCTGCCCCATCCAATCTCACTTATCAGCTTTACTTATTTGCACTTAAATATTTGTAACTATTTTATCTTGTCTAAATCACACAATTTCCAACCTGGCAGCCATAGTTGTCTGTAGTACCAAAAGCAACAAGGATTCTTCTAACATTTTAAAAAATAACTCATTTGTTTAACTGTTTCATTTTTATATACTGCTCCATTAGTGTGCTCCATTCTGGGTGGTTAACAAATTGTGAAACCAAACAATGGCAAAAAACAGTGGAAGTCATTAAAAAAAACCAAGCAAACTATCATAAACCCATTTATAACATACTCATTGAAATTCAGTAGTAAGTCAAAACTAGAATAGGCCCACTGAATCAGTGTGGATATGGTGAGTCAGTTCCTTGTAGGCTCCATTGATTTAATGGGTCTACTCTAGTTGTGACTTACTACTAGATTTCAGCCAATGAATATTTCTTTAATATGTCATAGAACTTTGTTGTAAATTAACACTAGTATATACAAGGTGCATAGTAATATTTCACATCTGGGTATTTCAGGTGGTGCACCAACGAGAGTCAATGGAAACTTGTCTATTATTATAGTTACATGCCTTAGTGGTTATAGAGCATGTAACTCTAATAATAATAATCTAACATTGTAGAGCTGGAAGGGAGTCTTTGGATCAAATCCAGCCTATCAAGGAGGCAGTGAAGAATTTAACTCCCAACCTCCAGCTCTACAGCCAGATATCTAAACCAGGGAGTTATCCAACCCTCTTTCACTTGGCTAAATATGGTATTCTAAAGATACAAAGAGTCAGACACGACTAAACAACAACAAAGATACCTAATGTGATATAGTGGATCAAGTGACCAACTAGGACTCTCTGGACCAAGGTTTGAATCCTAGCTTGGCCATGAAAGTTCACTGGAGGAGTAGAACTGATAAAGCTATTCTTAAAATATCTCAATTACCCTGAGAATCCTGTTAGGGTTGCTATAAGGCAGTTCTATCTTGACGGCATGTAACTAACCAAAAGTACTTAATAGACCCAATTGAGATCCTTCCGTTTGGTCCCATGTGGAGTTTCGACCATATTATTACACCTGATATTTTTGGTGGCACCTTATTGCATTCCAAACCTTTCATTCACACTTCAATATTGGAGCAAAAGGGATAAAGTGGAAACTTCTTCCCAAAATTCTGCTTCACCAATTTCATTGTTAAAGCCAAGATTCAATATTATAGAGTTGAACACTAGTAGAAAATTCCATTCCCTTTCTCACAGCATCCTTATCTAATGCCAAAATATGTCTCCATAGGGTGTTCCATCTCTCCAATGCAGGTCTTTAGGTTGTAGTGGATGCTACAAGGAAGGGGATTACCAATTATGTGAGGAGCAGTTGGATCCAGCTGAAGTACATCCTGGCATCTGTGTTTTGTCCTAATGCTTCCTGGGAGGCCTAGGCTTTTCTGGGAGGTATAATCTTACTCTCCATTAATCTTTATAGAGGCTACCTCCAATGAACTACAACTCCCACAAAGACCTATGCATCTCAAATAACATTAGGCAGCTTCCATTTTGTACAGGATGTAGGCGTGAGGCAGCCTGGAAGAGAAACTGTTTTAAAGACCGGTGTCTTTTCTGTGGCAGGAATCTCCCTGTGGAATTACGGGAGCTGGAGTCAAACAAACATGAATGACACACCCCTTGTGTTTCTGCACATATCAAATGCAACTGAAAGACTCTAATTCATGTTTGTCACCAAATCAGAAGAGGCGATAGAATTCCCAGCTCATGTATTCTATCTCTGCTAAAATGCTGTCCTCTAATTTGGAACAATATCCTACATTTTGAGTGGGAAAGTATTGTCTTCAAATAGCAAGCATGTCCTTAACAGCAATGTAATACTTTCCAATATTCTGGATGACCTAGAATCACTGCCATATGTGTATCATTGTGATGGTCACTTTTTATCCCCTCCTTCTAGGTAGAGTTAACCATATACCCACCTATCACTGGACTGGAAAACGGGAGTATTGTAGACTACCAATAGAAAGTATCCCATTCATGTAAGAATTATCCAAATTCAGCTCCCTTATAACAAGGATAATAATGTTCTACAAGCACCTTAGAGATATTATTGTAGGCATCCTTCAGTCTCGAGGGACTATGGTAATGTGCTCTGAATTGGAACAGCTCTAGTGTGGCAGTGAAGGCCAATTCAACAGTGACAATCCATTCCACACTAAAGTGACAATCTGTTCCACAATCTGTCCAGTCTGGCTCCTTGTTGTTGCTGGCTTCGGGACTGCCTCTTTGCTAGGCCTACCAAATAAGTCTCTCTTCAAATTGTGAGAGGCCATGCTACACCGCCTGCCTCCAGGCCGAACGCTCAGATGTCAAAATTTCCCATCTGTTGAGGTCCATTCCTAAGGCCTTCAGATCCCGCTTGCAGATATCCTTGTATTGCAGCTGTGGTCTCCCTCTGGGGCGCTTTCCCTGCACTAATTCTCCATACAGATCTTTTGGAATCTGACCATCAGTCATCCTCACGGTATACCCAAGCCAACGTAGACGCTGATGTTTCAGTAATGTATACATGCTAAAAATTCCAGCTTGTTCTAGGATTACTCTATTTGGAACTTTGTCCTGCCAGGTGATACCAAAAATGTGTCAGAGACAACGCATATGGAACGTGTTCAACTTCTTCTCCTGTCATGCACAAACGGTCCAGGACTCACTGCAGTACAGGATTGTGCTCAGGACACAGGCTCTATAGACCTCTTAGTGTGTTTGAAGGGCATGGGTATGGCATGTTTACCAAAAACCTTTTTTAATTTTTTAGACATGCCCTCCATGTAAGGAATGACCAAGAATGTCTCAGGCCTTAAGATACAATCTGTCTCCTACTTATCATGTTGCCTTTTCATCCATCCCCAGGAGGGTTATGGACACACACAAGAAAGATCACTGTTAACGATCGTCAACAACCAATGACAATGGGTGAGGACTGCAGAAATGGGATTATCCCTCACCTCCCCCCAGTCTTTTGTCCTTCTAAAGAGCTTATCCAGACCAGAGGGAAGGGTAACCAACATGGAGGATGTATCAGGGATCTCCTATCAACTCTCCTCAGACTGAAGAAACAGCTTGGATCAGTAGCAAAATGTTTCAACCCAACAAGAAAGAAGTCCAGTTGCCAGAATATATTTTTACAAATGTTTCATGCCATTTCAATGGTTTATAAATGAATGCTTTAATTCTTACAAAACATATTTACATCAACTACATGACTGAAAAATGTTTTAAAATACTTAAAATAAGAAAATTGTATTAATTTTTACTCTTCTGCTATAAACATTTAAAACTATACCTCCTACATAAACAAAACAAATGGCACACTAGTTTGTGTGTGTAGACCAAATGAAACTGCAAGACCCTTATTCTCAACTATTGGAATCAGATATGAGGAAATATTTGAAATTTCCTTAGATTTTCTATCTTGGGCATTATTTTACTTGATTTTCCATATTAATATACAACTTATCTTCTACCTGTTATGAATGTAAACTAAATTATGAAGAATTCTATTGAAGTCAGCACGACTATACAGTGATTCGAATACTGTATAGTCTTAAGTTTCTTTTTTTCTTTCTGCATTTCAAGGTGCAACATTCAGAAGTAATAGTCTGCAGGCTGTTAAATGCATTGCTAGACATTTTCACAGTCTTAACTCTGGCCTGCTCTAGGAAATGCAGTCACATATGTTCTAATTGTGCTCATTTTTGAAAACTGTAGGTAAGGGCCATTAGTAGCACATTTTATGGAAGGAACAAGCAGTAACAATTTATATTCTGAACAATGACTTGGCCAAATTATTTTTCAAACTGGATCGATGAATATGGCAAAATAACAATATAAATAGGCAAGGCAAAATGCATTTTTAATTTTTATGGCTGAATTGAAGTTTCCTTAGAAAAAAGCATGCTTAATTTGAAAAACAAGTACTTTTCAGCCTTTAACGTTGTTGAAAGTTTGAGAGTGAATTAGAATGATATAATAGCCAGAATCTTACTAGTTATACCAGCATAATGCCATTGGTAAGAATTGCCACAAGGTAAGTCATCAGCATGGAAATTTCTTATTCTAAACCAGTCCCGTGATTTGGATGTCATACAAGAAGGGCTATATCAACTTCTTAATAAAAGGATTTCCCCTTGGTTGCATCCAAGTATCATTAAATATCATATAAACGCAGGGAAATTGATCAAGAAGGGCTTGACCACAAAAGTTTTCCATAAATGAAATCAATGAATGCTGGCAAAAATCAGCAATAATCTTTTAGGGCCATGTGTACTGAAAAATCCTTAATGCAGTGAGATCCTAATGGGAGAGAAAGAGCTCCAAAACTATGCTACTTGCTGCTTCTTTGGAAAGAGGTCTGTCACTTCTTATCATCCATGCCCATCATAAAAAGAATCCTTCAGCGTGTATGGCCATTCAGATTGTCTTCACATTACAGGAATATAAATGTTTACAAGACAACATATATTGTGTTGTTTGGAAGGCTGGATGGTCCTAAAGGAGTTCACAGTAGCAAATAACAACCAACATTTTAATTCACAATGCAATCCATTTGGCATTTCTTCAAATCCTTTTGATGGTTTATACAATATTGGAACTATTCACGTGCACATACTCTAAAAATGACCGGTCTAGAACTCTTTCAATGAGAACTTCTTCTACAATATTTATATCCTGAAAAAGAAGGAAAGACAGTTAGACATGGAACTAAAAATAAATCAATAAACCTACTAAGCAATAAAAATAGTTTTATTGAGGCAGCAGCGGTAAGTAAATTATTCAGTAATCATTCTTAGGTTAAAGGTAGTTGATACTTAATATCCAAATTTTGGTTTCCCTGCACATGAATTTACAAGAAAAAGGAAGCCATTTGGGATGCATTTCCTGATTACTATGAAGTATCTGTTTCTTTAAAAAGAAAAAGAAAAAAGGAGGGGGGCATGGAGATTTCATCCTTATAATTCTTTGCAGACTCTACTGCCCTTTACATGACAGCATGTTACTCTGACAGATTAAATATCATACATTAAAATGACAGTCACACTTTCATTCCAAATTTCCTCAACCATCAGAACAAATTCCACTAATGCAGAAGAAAAACAGTGTGATGCTAGTGGTGATCCTATTGTAGGACTATAGGTAACTTAAGTGTGGCTTATGCCATCTTAAAAGTTTCTGAATACTAAACTACAAGAAATTCAGTTTTCAGCTGGATATCCAATCAGTGCCTTACTAGGGTATTACCTGTAGGATAGAAAAAGTTACAGTAGAAATAGAGTCCATTCATGTAAGAAAACAAACATAAAAACCCAGACAATAATATATCAAAGCATTCATATGTATGATTCTTCCTTTTCTATTCAGCTATTATAATTAACACTAGCAATAATAGAAAAGACCAAGTGGGCCCTGGAAGAAAATATTACTTTGTGTGAATCAGGGTAGGGCTTTATACACAATGAGCTAGTTTGGTATAATTTGTTCCATTTCTATACTCCCCTTCCACTATATTCCTCCTCTAATTATCTTGTTTCTCTCCTTTCACACCCATGCTTTCCCCTCCTCTTTGGGATTCAATAAAAAGGGATAAACATAGAAGGAACAGGGTATAGTCCTGCTCACCTGTCTCTAAAGAGTTACATTCTGGAGATGACAGTGTAATAAGGAACTCTACTTTTTCAGGATTTCCAGTTGCATGGCCAGCCTGGAAAAAAGGTTCAAGGCTACCATAATCCTTTCCTTGGGGACTTAATTTATCCCTTCTTTAATTACCTGACCAGGGCTTCAGTCTGTCAACATTCTGTGTTATTGAGTTAGCACTGGATTGTTTTATAGGATTCTCTTCACCATAAGCTTTTTGTAGCCTTATAAACTTCAGGGTACTTTAATCATCATCATCTTAAGAAATGCAGAGCTGGAAGGGACCTATGGATTATTCAGCTCCCGCCAAGGAGGCACAGTGGGAATTGAACTCCCAACCTCTGGCTCTGCAGCTAGAGACCTGAACCACTGAGCAATCCAGCAGTTCTAAGCTGCTAACTCAATATAACGAAGTACTGACTGGAGAAGTACGAAAAAAAACTTTTGGATACTGAAGAAAATAACCCAAAAGAGAAAGTAGCAGTATAGTGGTAAATTTAGAAGTTCAGGTGCCCATCATGACAGAGAGTCCACGCAGATAGTTGGATTGTTCTATATCAACTAATATGCAGGTATTTTCTAAAGGCAATGGCTCTTAATTGCCCAAGATTAAACTATTCCCAGATGTTTTGCATTCCAACAGAGACAGCCTGCTTCAATATACAGTTGCTGGGAGCATCCATTTTTCTCTCAGCTCCTGTAAGGATTGTAGTTAAGTTTCAAGGGAACCACAAAGCCTGAGAGGAGTGGTAGATGATGTCATAGTCCGTGCTGATCAGAAAGTCCTAGGGGCTTTGACTTTGTGAGCTTTCTTTTAGGTCAGGGGTCTCCAAACTGCGGTCTGCAGGCCACATCCGGCCCACTTTGCCATTTTATTCAGTCCATTCCCTTCAGCCCATGTGCTCAGGCAGTATGCATGCAGGAAGGCGAGTGTGTGTGCATGCGGTCATGCATATGCACACACATTCCTGTTCCTTCGGCTCTCAAAACTGTTGAGAATATCTGGTGTGGCCCTCACAGTCAAAATTTTGAAGACCCCTGTTTTAGGTTATTGTCATCTGCATCAAAAATGTTATTGGTACAACTTCTGCCATAGCACAGAAGAGGCAAATGCACTAGATACCCTATTAATCACTGATTTTCTTTTGCAATATACTATCTGGTAGGTGCTACAACTCTAACCCTTGTGCTTATATTTTGGTATAAATTCACTTGTGTTTGCCATAAATATTTGTTGCAACACTCCCTGTTTGCCTGCCCCACTTTAGACAGACATACTTGGTGACCTAAGATCTATATTGCTATACTGTATATCACTTTATTCACTAATATGCTGAGAAACATGCTGCAGTGATTTCTAGAATATACTCATCCAGAGGGATTATACTCATACTGCAGACCAGCACAAAAGACTGGAGCGGCTATGGGAAAAATAACTGTACAATTTACTCACTATATAGTCTTCATAATAGAATGTATGTCTGAGCTGAAGGTGCCTTATAAAATTCCTGCTGTAATAACTTGGACCATCGCCAGGGAGGAAACGACATATTGGACAGTACTGTAAATAGTTCAAAGGGGGAAAATATAAATGAGCTAAATTAGGACACATTTTCACCATAAAGATGTAGCAAATGAAATCATTATTATCACTAACGAGGAAGAAATGTGAAATATCTGAGGGAAGTACAACTGAAGGACTTTATCTGAGTAAGCTGAATGTATTAGTAATCACAAACATTTTCTGATTAACAGTAAAGTTGACTTATATCAAGTTTAAATGCTCAGTTTTATTTTATAAACCAGTGGAACCAATTACCTCGAGAGATGGTGAGTGCTCCAACACTGGAGGCATTCAAGAGAAACTTAGACAACCACCTAGAAGATGTCCTTGGATTTACAGTCATGCATCAAGCAGGGTGTTGGACTTGATGGCCTTATAGGCCCCTTCTGACTTCACTATTCTATGATCCTATGAATGCCCTGTATATTTGTGCCACACACATGCACTTCTTTTTGCATGAATGAGGTAGTGCTATGGAATCTCTTTTTACTAGAATGCCCTCCCCATTACTATCTTTTTCATGGTCACAGCATGTTACAGTAAAAAAAAATCTACAAAAGTACAGATAAGCAATGTGCACAAAGCACACCCAGTTGTGCCAATGATCTATTTCAAGGCAGGGAATTCCAATGCAGGCCCAGAGCAACTCATTCAAGAACGGTTGCCATTACATTTGTGTGTGCAAACTGGCAGCCATCAAACAGGCCCTTTGTGCACACACAAATCTCAGGACAGTGGCAATGTTTATATAGGAGTGCAGGACAGAGGGGTAACAATGCATTCATTCTCCTGGAAAGAGTTTCAGACTCTTTCCCCCATATATGTAGCAATAATGATCTCAGGTCTCTTGAGTGTGACTGTCTAAACAAAAGAAAGGTATTACCATATCCTACAGAGGTTTGGTCAGTGCAAAAAACATATTTGGGCATGTGTGTGAAATGTGGGGTTAGGCACTGAAATCCAAAACAGCTTATCAAAGAATGAGCAGGCTTAGTGGCCTCACAATATTGATTGACTGTTGGGGAAGAGAGGAGGAGTTTGGTGGGAAGAAAAATGGAACGGATAGTGGGATTCTGAACTGGTTTAGTCCACGCTGCATCATTTTGTGTACAATCACATTTTACAGTCACCATTTTGTATAAAATCACATTTTACACTCTTCCATGTGTAAACATAGAATTTACACACACAAGCAAGCATTGCTTACATTACTGGCAGCTCTCCCGCAGGAATAAAACAAGTAATCTTTGTTCTAGGGTCATCCTGACATATGCTAATTTATATAATACATTAAGATTTTGTCCATACTGTTCAACAACAAAAAGATATTGAAACAGCATTTGCTTCTGAAATTACCAAGTTACACATTCAGCAATGTAGCCCATTTAGAACTGGAATATTTTAATTGCAGGTCAGGAAAATGTAGATTTGAAAACATGTGTTAAAAGTCCCATCTGTCGATGGGCAGTATAATTTTGAGTATTATTTGTTTCTGGCATCTGTATCCTATCTTTCCCCCAGTTTGCATGGAACCACAGCTCAGCTCAGCTCAGCTCTTCTATTCTCTACTTCACCCTTACAGCATCCCTGTGAGGCAGGTTAAGGTGAGGAAATGACCAGGAAGGCTCAAGATATGCAGAGATATCTTTCCACGCAATATGGACAAGCAAGCAAGCACACAGAACTACCTAGAAATAGCCTGAGTCACTTGAATGAAAAATATGAGTACTCCCCTAGTGGTGACATTCACACTTTTATAGCTTGCAAACCATACAATGCAAGCCATACAAATATCTTAGCAAACAAAATACGGCTCATGTAGATGAAAAAGCTGGACAGGATTTGTAGGTTTCTTTGGTACATAAAGACTATAAAGCCCTCATTCTTTTTATGTCTCCAGTTCAAAGGCATAGCTTTCTAAGATAAAAGGCTGCTGAGATCACTCTTCAAATCAGCTGCCATGGTTAAAAATAGTATATCGGAAGTATAATGGTAGAATATAACATGCATATTCCAGTTTAGACCACTTTACAAGTACTAGTGTAAAGTGTATGGAAGGACCGCCTACTTCCATATGAACCTACCTGGCAGTTAAGATCTAGCCGGGGGCCCTTTTGAAAGAGCCGTCCCTCAAGGAGATAAGAGGGATGGCTTGTAGGCAAAGGGTCTTTTTATAACATGCATATTCCAGTTTAGACCACTTTACAAGTACTAGTGTAAAGTGTATGGAAGGACCGCCTACTTCCATATGAACCTACCTGGCAGTTAAGATCTAGCCGGGGGCCCTTTTGAAAGAGCCGTCCCTCAAGGAGATAAGAGGGATGGCTTGTAGGCAAAGGGTCTTTTCGGCAGCTGCCCCCAGGCTATGGAACACCTTCCCAATTGGGATTGAGATTCGTCTGGTGCCAACACTGATGACATTTCAGCACCATGTCAAAACCTTCCTGTTCCAGAAGGCTTTTAATTGAAATAATACCAACTGTGGGTCTTGATGGTAATTTTTTGAAATAATACCAACTGTGGGTCTTGATGACAATTTTTTTTAATTGTTGTAAGCCGCCCAGAAACCTTTGGGTAGTGTGGGTGGCATACAAGTTAAATAAATAAATAAATAAATAGTGATGTAAGTTTATTACAAGTGATGAACTCACTAAACAATATGTATATAGACATAGATTTAAATATAAGATATTTACCACTGCTCTCCTCTCTGATCTGTGATAAGTGAGAAAGTGGTCCAGGAGATCAGTTTCATCCAATTCATACTGGCAGAAAGGGCAAGGAAATCTGTAAACAACAGAAACATATTCAAACATGTTAGTTGTATTTTTCTGTATTCTTTATGCAATACATTATCCACCTAACACCTACAACAGACCATCAATGTACAATAGCTTGCTTTATGGCTCCCCTGTTACAACCACTCCGAATTATTCAATGATCCCCCTTTAAAGCTGAGTTGAACAACCTCTATGACTAGCACACTGACATCAGGAAAGGTGACACCAGAAGAATGCAGAGGGGATCGACACAATGTAGTGAGAGAGAAGGGAATAAGACAGTATCAGACAGACAGACAGAGTTGAACAACCTCTATGACTAGCACACTGACATCAGGAAAGGTGACACCAGAAGAATGCAGAGGGGATCGACACAATGTAGTGAGAGAGAAGGGTATAAGACAGTATCAGACACATGAGGGAAGAAGACAGCCAAGAGGAATGGAGGGAGCAGGCAAGACAGCTCAAGACGGATGAAAGAGAGAAGGTGGTTTAGGGGGTCAGAAAGAACAAGCAAGACAATGGAGGATGAAGGTGGAGAGGAGGATGAAAACGAGGCTTGAGAAGTGTCCAGGAATTAAATCCTGATTTTAATATTGACTCCAATAGGAAAATAGGATTTTACATATGATGGCTTACTTTACAACCATCAGTGGAAATCCAGTTAAGTATTAAGTGTGATAGTCTACTCTCTGTTGGTTGGTGAGCCAGTATGCTGCTGATAAATCTGTGGCTTTTCTTACGATAGTAGCAAGAATGTGGGCATGAAAAATAAGCATGTAAGATGTTTGCCTCTTACATACACAAATGCTTTGAGCTCCTCTACAAAGCTTTTGTTTATACAGCTTCTTTAGAGCTGGATGATAAAGAAGATAGTCAACAGAATTAGACTGAGATGCCAATTATATCCCATGACTATTCGGACAGTGCTATAACAGTACCAAGTAATGCCATGCAGGAAGTTAGAATAGCTCAGTGGACTAGAGTCAGGGTGTATAAAAATTAATGTTTTTTAAAAAATAAAATCCATTCTGGCTGGGGTACTTGGCTGCAGAGTCATGACAAGATGTTCTAATCGCTACTCTGCTTTCTTGGAGGACAGCTAAGATAATCCACCAAGAGCATGTTTGGCTAACAGAGTTAGTGCTCTGCCACCTGTGTGACTTCATGCATGGTACCAGAGGACCGACTGATGGAAGGACTGGTAAACTTCTTCTGAGTAATGTCTTCTCTTCTGAGTACTTTATACACAGAAAACTCTAAGATAGTTGCCATAATTCAGAATTAGCTAGACATTTAATTATTATAATGTCCTGTACAACATCCAGAGCTCAGAGACCTTCTCATCTTCCAGTGTGGCAGATGCCATCATTAGGTAGCAAGGCTTTTCTGCCTTTTACATAGATCAATATTCATGGCAGTGTTCAAAGACCAAGGATCTGACCTCAGGCCATGCTTACACAAAGGACCTTTAAAAAACTAATTTCAAGGTGAAACTGCTGAACAAGAGTTCATGGAGAGATTCAAGAGGGCTTTAGTTTATCTCCTCCGGCTTGAATAAAGACAAAAGGTTTTTTTAAGATCACACTACATATGTCAGTCAGCTCCTTAGCCTAAGAATGTCCCAGTAAACATTTCTTAATGGCCATTACTAAGATTTTGTTGTCTAGTCATTAAGTTGTGTCTGACTCTTCCTGACCCCATGAACCAGAGCACACCAGGCCCTCCTGTCTTCCGCTGCCTCCTGGAGTTGGGTCAAATTCATGTTGGTAGCTTCAGTGACACTGTCCAACCATCTCATCCTCTGTCGTCCCCTTCTCCTCCTGCCTTCACACTTTCCTAACATTAGCATATTTTCCAGGGAGTCTTCTCCTCTTCTCATGAGATGGCCAAAGTATTGGAGCCTCAGCTTCAGGATCTGTCCTTCCAGTGAGCACTCAGGGTTGATTTCCTTTAGAATGGATAGCATCAATTCTTTGGCGGTCAGCCTTCTTTATGGTCCAGCTCCCACTTTCATACATCACTATTGGAAAAACCATAGCTCTGAGAATACAGACCCAGGGAGTCTTCTCCTCTTCTCATGAGATGGCCAAAGTATTGGAGCCTCAGCTTCAGGATCTGTCCTTCCAGTGAGCACTCAGGGTTGATTTCCTTTAGAATGGATAGCATCAATTCTTTGGCGGTCAGCCTTCTTTATGGTCCAGCTCCCACTTTCATACATCACTATTGGAAAAACCATAGCTCTGAGAATACAGACCTTTGTCAGCAAAGAGATGTCTCTACTTTTTCAGATGCTGTTGAGGTTTGTCATCACTTTCCTCCCAAGAAGCAGGCGTCTTTTAATTTCGTGGCTGCTGTCACCATCTGCAGTGATCATAGAGCCCAAGAAAATAAAATCTGTCACTGCCTCCATATCTTCTTCTATTTGCCACGAGGTAATGGGACCAGTGCCCATGATCTTAGTTTTTTTATGTTGAGTTTCAGACCGTTTTTGCACTCTCCTCTTTCTCCCTCATTACAAGGTTCTTTAGTTCCTCCTCACTTTCTGCCATCAGAGTGGTATCATCTGCATATCAGAGGTTGTTGATATTTCTTCCGGCAATCTTTATTCCTGCTTGGGATTCCTCCAGTCAATCCTTAGTCATGGTCAATCCTTAGTCCTGGCGGCTCCCTGCAGAGTTTTCTAGGTAGAGAATACTTGAAGAAATTTATCATTCCCCCCTTCTGCAGCTTGCCCAAGGCCACACAGGCTGGCTTTTCTGGGATGCAAAGAGGGGAGTCTGGCTCCCAATTTCTGGCTCTGCAGACAGATTCCTTGAGCTATTCAGCCTGCTCTTATGTTCATGAGCTGAAGAAAATGAAACTGGGGATTTATATAGTGGCGCCTCGCAAGACGAATGTAATTTGTTCCACGAGTAGCACTATCTTGCGAAAAGCAGTTTC